TCGGCACCTTAACCCAGCCGGGCTGAAAGAGATACATATTGTACAACATCCCAGCAGAAAGATCGATGATATACTCAATAACAGTTCTCTCCAATCGGGACTCCATCGCACTGGGGTCTCTCTCTCTCTCTGACGTGCGACAGCAAAAGGCCTAATTGTTACATCACACAGACGACCATTTCAAGTCTGTGTACTGAGTAAAAGATGATAAAAGTTGTTGCATCAACTACCATACGGCACTTTGTAGCTTACTGCAGCCATCAAATCGGGGCTGGCATATAGCGCTCAACAGTTAATTGTCCCAGTTGTGCGTGGTCCTCCGTGGTACAATGACCCCAATTCATTCATCCATTGGAGTAACTACATGTATATTAATAGTTACTCCAAGATTCATCCAGTGCCATGTCTGCGGCAGATATTATCGGTGATGATGGTTCTCCGTCAACGCCTACTCTAGAATTAGAGTAGGCGTTGTTCTCCATCCATTCCTTTGCTGTGATGATCACTTAACTGATTTTTCCCCGTTGCTCATTTGTTTAGATTTCCTAAATAGGTTGCTCTGGGCCTACCCTTACTCCAATTATCAAAGTTTAAAAATTTTTTAAAACCCTACGGACATGATATTTTGCCCTCCTTCTTTGCATAAAGGACCTCTAACATACTCCATTATATTTGAGAATAGAATCATTATGTGAACTTTAAATTCACACTCGAAACACACATATTATGAATGTCAACTTTGAAAAAACAACTTTTAATTTACATTATTTTTTTCATGTTATGGGGAAAACTGTTTTTAAAAAATATAAAAGAACCAATATCTATCTTAGTCGGTTTCATTTTCTTCTACTTCCTTGTTTCGTTTGTTTGTTTTGTTTTGTTTGTTTTGTTTTTTTAAATAGACTCCAACTCAAAGCTGAGCCCATTGTTCGATTTGATCGTTTGATCGTATTTTAGGAAAAGGTGCAAAACACTGAAAACACCTGCAAATTATTGTTCAGATTTCCCACACCCATCGACACAAATTTGTTAATTTGGGTGACGGAAAGCTTGGAACATACTTGTTTAGGTCAAAGAGAGATATATTTTTCAACAGATAGAAGACGAAAACGCTCGATTGAAAAAAAAAATCACCATCTAGGATTCAAACTCACGTCTTGCGCATGCGACAGCGAAGAGCCTAACTATTAAGCCACAGGCGCCTGCAAAACTCTTGAAGTGACATTCTGTGAAGATAAGGAAGATACAGGGTTCAGATTGTCCATCGTTTTCTTGCACCTGATAATAATAATAATAATAATAATAATAA